GTACTATGTTCTTTGACTAGAGAGAAGTATCATTTGCTGCTATGCCTCAGGCAGCAGAATGTCTTGGCTGGTCCTGGACTTAAAAATTCTCAGTATTTGTTTAAAAACAATTGCCTAAACCAATGGTCCTCAAACTTTTTAGTCTTGGGACCCCCCCTTTACATCTGCATGTGGGCATTGTGCACCTCCCACTCGACATAGTATATGAATAAAAAATACTTTGTTTAGGGTTTGTATTTTCATTCACATATTCATGTATATTCATATTTTCACATTTTATAAAGAAATAAAATCATTCAATTTAGAAAGTTTTTATTTCAATAAATTCAAGATTTAACTCAACACATCTGTACAGTTTATATATTAAAAAAAGGTTTGGGAAGAGGAGGAAGAGGGATCAGAGGCCCCAAGTCTTGCCCAACCTTGAGCAATTCATCCCCTCGAGGGTTCCCACCCCACCATTTGAGAACCACTGGCCTAATCTACCTTGGCTTTTTGGAATCAAGTCATGTGCTACAGAATTAGGAAAATATGAGTGAACAGAACCCCAAAGAAATGTGAGAGCAAATTCACATATAAGTCAAACTTATTTTTGAATGACTTCTATAATGTTCACAAAGCTCTCAATAGAAGTTTTTTTTTTTACTAATTGCATTTAGCTAATAGTAATGAAGTTTGGGAGGAGTAATTTGTTAGGTGCTCCAGCTGTGCTTATCTGGAGAGCAATCAAGGGTGCTTTCTCCTTTTGCTAGCAATTTGAGTTGGAGTTATTTTAATGTTAATAAACACAAAATTGCTTTCCATTTCCTGTCTTTGAAAGAAATTAATCAGGTAAAAGGGAAAATACCATGCAAAATGGTTAATTAATACTGAGTGTAAAATTAAAGATTATGAAAAATGAAGTTAAAATAATTGGCATGCTTATTGGTCCACATGAAGCATAGAAAAAAGTTTTGGATTGGCCTGATAACATCAATATGCTGATTTCTGTCTGTTGGGTTTTTTTTTTCCATTTTGTTTTTACAGAATTTGTGGAAATTACTTTCTGGAGTACAATTGCTCTAATCAGCAAGCCAACATTGCTGGGGGATTCTAGGAGCTGGAGTCCAAAAAGTAACTTTTCCAGGCTCTGTGCTAATGTATATGAACAATGTCACACTATCTATTAAAATTAGGAGCTTTCCAATTTTGTAGCCCTAACTGCTTTCCACATCATACCTTGGACTAAGTGCTGTTGTTAGTCTCTACAAGAGTAGAACCATTAAATGAATTGGATTTTGCCTACATGTTGACTCACCATATAACAACTGCTTTACTGGGACTTGTTTGGCTGAGACTAACCAACAGGATTCGAGCTGATGTACAGCTCCACAGCAGGAGATTTCCTGGTACCAAGCCAGATCACTGATTATTTTGGCTCAGATCTCTTTGAACTTACTGTCAGAAGCTCTGGGCAGGAGATGACAGCCAGGAGTATTCTATAATACTTCCTGAAGATTCCAGGAATTGAACCAGAGGCCTTTGGGATACAAAGGACTACTGCATTGCTGAGCTGTGACCCATCTCCAGTGCTTAAAGGCCCTCTGTTTTCTGGACACTGTCTTTAAAAACCTGGGGCAACCATACTTCAAAGGCAGCTGGAAGATCCATGCTTACAGGGGTGGCTGATCCATTCTTGAATGTACCAACTTGTTGTACAAGACCCCTGTCCCTTCAGAGGACTAGCATGGGTAGAGCTCTCACACCACTTGAAGCAGGTGCAGAAGGACCAACAGTTTTTTAAAAATGGACTACCTGGCCCTCCAGCAGCACTCCTCATGCTAGAGATGGGGAAAACACACAGGATTCAGGATAAGCACTGATAGTCATTTTAGGGATTTTAGCAATGGCTGCACTGCTGGAGAACATTGGGAATTTTGTTTTAAACATTGGGTAACTTGTCCAGGCTGTATTCTGTACAGGGCAGATGTTTAAGTTCTTAGAGTCACTGTCCTTGGAAACACCATCCAAACATTTTTATTCCTGTGAGTTGCTAGAATTATCATCTCATCCACTCAGTTCTGTAGGACAAAAGTGAAGAACAGATGGATGTTGTCTCTGGTGTATATATGTATACATGTACATGAATACTTAAGCACCTTGCTAAGAGCCACGTAACACACTCCTGAGATATTATTTTCTTAGAAAGACACAAACATCCTAGCCACTACCCCAATCTTATGTAGAAGGGGGGGGGAAATAGAACATCACAGAGGATAATCCACACCTCCTCTAAAAGAAAAAAGAAGAAGAAGAAGTAATGTTAAGCCACTCAGCATCACAACCTGAAGATATCTAAGAAACTATGGACCCTCTCCCAACATCAGTGAACCCCACATTTTTCAGAAAAGGGTGGTCATAGGAAAGTGTGGAATAATTTTCAGACCAAACTAATCCATAAACCAGAGAGCTTCTATGGTACAGTGGCTAGAGTATTAGACTGCTCACTCAAGAATCTTTGGCTAATCATTGTCTCTCACCCTGACCAGCCTTACAGGGTTGTTGTGAAGATAAAGTGAGGATGATAACAGCCATGTATTGAGCCTTGAGCTCAATTAAGTAAGCATAGAGAAGAAAATGTGGTTGTGTGTCTTCAAGTCATTTCTGACTTTTAAAAGCCAATGGCCAACCTGGATAAAACAACCCAGCAAACCTAACATGGGATTTTCTTGGCAAGATTTGTTCAAAGGAGGTTTGCCATTGCCTTCCCCTGAGTCTGAGAGCATGTGACTGACCCAAGGTCACCCAGTGGGTTTCATGACCAAGCCAGGAATTGAACTGTGGTGTCCAGAATCATAGTTCAGCACTCAAACCATAACACCATGCTGATTCTCATAAAACAAATTAATTAATTAATTAACACACTATAACCACCATATGAACAGAAACTAAGGAGCCAAAATGTTCCATAATCATGCAGGGCACTATCCAGAAAGCAGGTATCACTCATTGTCCAACCTGGGGGCAGGATGGTCTCACTTGGAAATTTTAGCATCCTTCTGCCCCAGTCACATGCTGCCTGTGCCAGGAAGGTGGGTCATATTACTGCCCCACATTAACTGAGAGAGCCAAACCTCAGGCATCTGAAACACAGGATTACAGAGCAAGTCAGGAGAGTGAACCAAGAAACAAGACAAAAGCAAATCCTGACACAGTTGAAGATCAAACAAAGGATACAAGAACACACTAGAGTTCAGGAAGTCCATGTTTCTTAAGGGAGTAGCTATAAAAACAACAGTATGACAGTGACTTAAAGAGTAGCACATTTTTTTTTTTTTTTTGGCCTACCCTTTCATGATGTGTGTGGAATAGAAGGCTGTCAAGACTGATCTCTTCCGGCAGGCTTTTCCAGAATAGATTACCCCAGCCTTGGGAATTTCCCCTCCCTCAGGAGAGTCCCCGCAGCCTCCTTTGTTAATGGAACTAAATGTCGCTGTGGATTTACCGTTACTGTTTTTATTGCATTATTCATCGTCCAATTGTTGTTTTAATCTGTAATGTGATTTAATATTTTTTTAAGGGGGGAGAGGAATATACTGTTTTACTTGGTATGATGTTTTAATATTGTTAACCACCCTGATTGGGTTACCAAAGAGCAGTATATAAATTATTATTATTATTATTATTCAGCCTTCTGGTGGAGCACCTGGCAAA